CCCGAGCCGCCAGCACAGGATGGCTTGGCAAGAAGATTTGGAAAGGCGAGCCCTCTGGCTCCACAGATGCGCATACGCAACTAGCACCACCCTCCAATCTACCCGACGAGGCCCTCGAGCGGCTCCCAACCGACAGCCTCCCCGAGGCCATCCTACGTACCCGGCTGGCTCTCCCGCCGAATCTGATAGAAATCACCCCTGAGGAGGACGCAGCCGCAAACGATGCAACCTACGTACCTGCCACGGATATCAGTGAACTTGTCTCCACAAGCCCGCTTAGCACCTGGTGGGATCAGCCAGGCCACTGGGGCGAGGAGAGCGAGTTCAGGGGCTTCGCCAGTGTCGAAAAAGTCACGGACAAGAGCGTCATGGAGGTTTATCTCCGGCAGGCTACCATTGAGGCGCTCTCTCTGCGGCAGCAGCAGGAGTCGCTCCCCTCTGCCGCGGGCTGGGTGACTAAGAAGTGGCGCGAGGTATCGCGGAGTGATCTCGACCAGATTCTTGCGGCGGAACTTGTGGTGCAGAATGGGCAGGCTTCTGTTGGGTTGGGGGATGCGGCGTTGATTGCGCAGCGCCTTGTGGTGGAGGAGGCTGAGGCTGAGGCTGAGCCTGAGACGGCGGCAGAAGTTCAGGATACAGCCGAGAGCGTTGAGGCTGAAATTTACGAAGTAGCTGAGACGAATGGGGTGGCTGCCAGGATCACGCCCGAGGAGGCTCAGGAGATGGCAAAGGCGTGGGATGCATCGTGGAAGGATCTTGTTCTGGATGAGCAGCTCAAGTTTGCGGTACGTTGATCTCTATTTGCAGTCTGCATGCCAACATGTATTCTCCACATACACACATACCCATAAAGAAGGACAGGAAAGGGGAGAGAGGAGAGAAAAAGAGAGACACAGAGAAGGAACAAGCCTGCTAACTAGGCCACAGATCCGAAAACGAATCTTCCAAACAACCGGCGTCCTCGTCCCCGACGCCAGACTCGGCGCCGCCCGCACAATCAAGCATATCCTCACCCTAGCGGTCAAGAAGCCCACGCCTCCCAAGCTGGCGACTCTCCTGGAGGAACGAGCCGTTTTTCAGGAGCTGCCCAACTTCAAGCTCCATAGCCGCAAACTCGGTCCGATTGATAGGGAGACTGCCGTGGGACGATGGAAGGTGATTAAGGAGGAGCTGCAGAAGCGCAACCTACCGGTGACGGGCACAGCGGGGTTGCCGCCGAACAAGGAGAGGCAGAGGATGGAGGGCAAGATTGCGTAAGGTGGACGGGGCTGTGAGGAAGGCTGGCTTATGTATGAGTAGATATCCTGTATACATGTGTGATGGAACAATGAAGCATTTGCTCAAGTGACGTCGATGATTAGAGCTTGTGATTTTACGGTGCGACTGGACATGGGGGCCGTGATCATGAGAACTGCGTATGTTGGGCAGGGATGAGCATTCAAACGGTCGGAATGGATTGGCACGTGTTGCTCCTTTTTGCACATGCCTTTCTCTCGCAGAACTTATGCTTTTTATTATTATTTATTATTATATATAGTTCGAGCCGTTGGAGCCTTGGAGGGGTATGTAAATAAATGCAGCCAGGGACCTGGGACAAGCCGGAAATAATGTGGCGGCCCCTCTACCCCTCTCACGTGCATGCGCTGGCCTCGGCTCGCGCGCAACGAGGCAGCAAGCAGCAGATCATCCACCTTATCCTCCATTTCTCTCTCCGCATGCCATGCCAATGGCCATGATATCACCGCCAGCTCTGTCTTGCTCTGATGGCCTGACCGTCCAATACGCCCTCCAGTGACGTCCCGTCCCGTCCCGTTCTGATCCCAACCGAGTTCGAGTTCTTGTGCCGTTGTGAGTCGTGACAGGGCACCAAGTTCCAACTAAGCGGTCAAAGTGTGTCGCAGCTTGCGCCTGTCTGTGAAAGCGAATGCCGCTTGTTGGGGTTGGCTCTGCTTGCTCCATCTGCGGTGGGGGAGTCGCTGCTAGCTGAGAGCTCTTGATGGCTGCAATTGTGAGTGTGTTGCTAGCATCTTCTGGCTCCTTTGCTGGTCCTTTGTCTTGCTTTCCTGTCTGCTCAGGGCTTTGGCATGGCAAGTTGTGCAACACGAACCTCTACCGTTCCTTGGTCTTTTGGGCTCATCTCAGTGCTGGCGTCGACGCTTGCTTCTCTATTCCTCTATTCCATCATCCGACCTCCATTGTCCGTTGTCAGCTGCACCGACTGACCTGGCTTGTGTCTTGAGTAGGATTCTCCCTGGATACTGCATCTCGACCTGCCCATGTCTTCCCGCGACGACGCCCATTCGGCTTCGGCCCCGGCCCACGAGTCGCATGGCATGACGGGCGCGACTGGGCTGCCTTCAACTCACGCCAGCTTTTCGCCCGTCACTCTATCCGCCAACACGACGAGATCGGCTCGCCGCTCCAATATCCTCGTCCATCAGAAAAGCCCTCTGCTGCTCGCGACACCGCCCCAAGTCACGCGCGCTCTTGCCTATAGCCATCCCTTCCTGCTGCCCTTGAACACATGCCTCGGCCTGCTCACATGGAGCACCGGCGATCCCTGGCAGAGCTTCTTGCTGCTGTCGGCCTTTTGGTTCACCGTGCTCTACGGAGACGTCGTCGTTCGGAGGGCCGGACCTGTCGTGATTGGCATCGCCATCATTGCCGCCATGTACGGCCGGAGATATAGTCCTTTGAGCAGCAGCGGCTGGGCTGACCCGACGCGATCGCATAATGATCACGCCAACCCAAGCAGCACAGCGTCGACCGCCAACGCGACTCAGGGTGATTCTGTCCCTGCGACGAAGAAGTCCCATGCCGTGAAGCACCAGAGGGCATCTTCAGAAATCACAAGCACAAAGCATCAAAAGACGCTTGACGAGATCCTCGAGACACTTAAGGAGTTTACGGGACGATGCAACGTCTTGATGGAGCCTCTCCTCGAAATGACCGACTTTCTCAGCACGCAAAGGACCCCGACCAGTGCCACCACGAAGCCTGCCCTTACAGCCATGTTCGTGCGCCTCTTGATTGTGACTCCCTTCTGGCTGGCTCTCACAATGCCGCCCTTTCATGTCATCACCACGCGTCGCGTAGTACTGGTTTTTGGCACAATCATCTTGACCTGGCACGCTCGACCTATGCGAGTAACGAGGACTCTGCTGTGGAGGAGCTCGCTTGTTCGCCGGTCCGCTGCCGCAATGACGGGCCTGTATTTCCATAGCCCGACCAAGCCCGGGCACTCGCTCGCAGCTGCGGAGGCCGCCAGCGGAAAGGCCAAGGGGGACGCCAGCGCTTCTGGATTACACGGAGGAGGCCGACACAAGAGCTCTGGCGTCAAGTTTACCTTTATCATTTACGAAAACCAGCGACGCTGGGTCGGTCTCGGGTGGACGGCCAGTCTATTTGCGTATGAACGGCCGGCTTGGACAGACGAGCACAACAATGCCGTGCCCTCCAAGGATGACTTTGAGCTTCCCGATGTCGAAGACGGCAGTAAGATGTGCTGGCAGTGGGTACAGGGCAGTCGATGGAGAGTGGATGGTGTTGCCGATGAGAAGGAGCCTATAGATTACGATGGGGAGGAAGGCAAAAACGGATGGATCTTTTACGACAACAAGGTTTGTTGTTGTTCTTGTTCTTCTTTATAAGCGTCTTTGTTTGCTTCTTTGTTATGCATACTCTTTCTTCCCCAATAGCTTCCTGCATATGTACTATCCCAGAAAACAAGCTTTGGCCCGCTAACCAGCCAGTAGTGGCAGTACGGCCGCCGCGGTCAAGACGGCTGGGCGAAATGGACCCGACGCAGGAAATGGTACCGCGACGCCGAGCTCGTGGAAGTCGAAGAAGAACCACTCGCCCCTGCAGCAGCAGCACAAGTCGGAGAAGATGGAGCGCCCACGTCGCCTCGGATAGTAGTCCACGACAGGAGCTACTCCACTGCCAGCGAAAAAATGGTGGCGCCTGAATCTAACAACTTGTCTCCGAATGCGATTCCCGCAAGCGACCAGACTGCGACCGACGATGATGAGGATGACAGGGCTTCGGTTCTCTCCACGTCGTCCAGGTCATCGTACTGGCTTTCTTCGTTACGAAGGAAAACGGCCGACAAGGACAGACATCGCCTGCTGGCCGATAAGGACAAGGAGAAGGAGAAGGACAAAGAGCATGAAAGGGATAGGGATCGGTCAAAGGCGTCAAGTCTCAGTGAGGCGGCCGGCGTGCTGGGGGATGAAGCTTCTGTTTTGGATCTGGAGACGGAGCTGGAGCTACAGAGGGAGGGCAAGGATGGGGGTGGGCGGTGGGGGATAGGTGATGATGCGCGGATGAATCTGGAGTGAGTACCTAGTGAGTGAGTGAGTGACGAGCACAGCCAGCCATGATTATGAATCTCGAGTGTACTCCGTATGGGGCCTAAATTTTAATGCTTCATCATGTATTAAACATGCATGAATATGTATGTATCTATACGTCAGAGGCAAGATACGAAAATATATCTTGTATTAATTACGGCATCTTCTATTCTTATTTACCCATGAAATGAGAAAGAGGAGAGAGAATGAGTTAGTGGGCTATCGTACTGTGTGTGAGACTGAAGCCAACAGCGAAACGCAGCGAGCACATAGCCTTGTGAATTGATCGTGAGTTGACTGACAAAGTACCAACAGGTATCAAGGCGGGCAGACATACAACGGCAACAATGGCAGGTCAAACATCAATATTTTCTCCGGCGGCGGTACGTGTATGGTGTTTTGTCCTTCCAAAGGGGGGGGAAGACAACTGCGGAAAGTTGGGCGGCCCTGGCATGTGTAATATAGTGTAATGGATTTTGATTTTGATTCCGATACAAGCTCCATTTCCTTGCTCCTATGTAGTTTGTTTCATTTCTCTTTGCCCAGGACTCAGGAGTCAGGACTTTCAGGACACGAAATCGGATACACCGTCAGCCCGCAGTGTTGCCATGGAGAGTTCATAAAGTACAATAGCGGGGCGTTGTTCAAGGCAGAATGGCCGAGTGGTCTATGGCGACGGTCTCAAGCACATCTCTATGTTCTTCCGCATCTCTCAAGAAGCGTTCCGTTCACGAAAGTGGCCGGGGTTCGAATCCCCGTTCTGTCATTTTTGCTATTCCTTTTTCTTGTTCCGCCCAGTCATGGATGGGTGCGTTGAAAATGTGCTCTGTACGAATGCATTTCTTTTTGCGAGCTGATGATAGGTTGATGACCGGGGATGTTGTTGTGCCCGAAGCTGCTGCTACGTACAGTATGTAGGTATGTATGTACATAATCTCAGCCTAGAACACGCGGGTGCAGTCTGCAGATGCGTTTGCAGACGGAGATACAAGGCCTTGTTGCCGACGGCTGGCAAGCATGTGATGCGCGTGGGCGAGAACTGTAACCGTGCCTTGTGCCTTGCAAGTTGCGCCCGTGCCATCTGCTGCTCCCGGCGCATACTTCCTCGGCTGATACAACTTGACTGGTGTCCAAGAATTTACAAATGATCAAAATAGGCGACTTTGCGGCCAGATGGGATATGATGGGAACCGAATCGCGCGAACCGTAGCGAGGCGCCGCCCGAGACGACGGCGAGGCTCGAGCTGCCAACTGCCACGCCCCACGCCATTGGGCCGGCCGCCTTATTACTGTAACGAACCACGGTGCAACGGTCAGAGCCAAGTGCCCGTGGAGAATTGTCGAGTCGCGCGACAATGGACATGACATCGCCAACCCCATCGCGCTCGGTCTTGCGAAGTCTTTTTTCTTTTTCCCTGTCCTCTCCGACTTTTTCTTCCCTTTGAGCTCGTTGCCTTCTTCCAGCAAGCACGCTTGTCTGTCCAATCCATAGTCGCACCTCTTCTGGCTAGTTACGACTCCTTCCTCTTCTTGTTCTTCTTCTTATCTTGACCCCTCGTTATCTCTGCTGGAGTGACTGCCCCGCCAAAAGTTTCCCTCACTTCCAGTTCCCTCCATTGTAACGGCTTTGCGCAACAGAGGAATAAACCCAATCGACTTTCACCATGGTTGAGAAGATCTATGTCACGTATAATGAGGTTCGTTTTGTAACATGTACATGTAAATTACCCACCGCTGTTGCCAATTCTTAAAGGGCGAGATGAATGTCATGTTGCTGTGCAGGAGGGGAAAGCAGAATTGAAATAGAAGAACGAAAGAAAGACATACGAAAGACCTTGTTACCAAACAGAGCCCTCTTCCTTTTTTGGTTCAGTCTCTAATTGCTGCCTCTAGGTCCACGAGATGTGCCGCAAGTCGGCCAACCGCCTCTTGACCGAGTTCCAGCCCCAACTCATCATCGCCATCGGCGGCGGTGGCTTCATCCCCGCCCGAATCCTGCGCTCGTTCCTCCGAAAAGATGGCTCGCCCAATATCCCCATCCAGGCGATTGGGCTGTCGCTGTACGAGTCCCTCGGGGAAGATAATGAGGTTGAGACGATTGGCAAGGAGGTCAAGCGCACGCAGTGGCTGGACTTTACGTCTCTGGGAACCATGCAGAACTTGATTGGGAAGCGCATTCTCATCGTGGACGAGGTGGACGACTCTAGGACCACGCTTGCGTATGCGGTCAAGGAGCTGGAGAAGGATGTGGAGGCTGCGCGGCAGGAGGCCATCGGGAGAGGCGTGGCGGATGATCTGCCCAAGACGGAGTTTTACATTTTTGTTCTACACGTACGTGTTCCCCTGGTCGTGCTTATTCTTTTCCTCGGTCTACTGTGTTTTCTTTGAAAACCCGTGGGGCGTCCGTTTCGCATGACTTGTAGAGCACACGTACTAACATGCTGTTTATTGTGCAGAACAAGGACCGCAAGAAGGACGGCATTCTGCCAGACGACATGCTCGCCAAGCGCTACGAAGCCGCCGCGACAACTGGAAACGTCTGGATCAACTATCCCTGGGAGGCTCTCGACATTGCCGAGCACGACAGGTTACAAGCAGAGGGCCAGAAGGCGTAGGCGACGCAGGACAAATAAACAGAGCAGTTTCGACGACTCTGCATCATGATGTGATGATCTACAAAACGGGAAAGAAGAATATGGCCAATGAAGAGGGAAAAAAAATGTGTGTGTACTATAAATCTAGTCAGAGTAGATACCAATTCGTAATCTCATGTATCCAATGAGGGTCGATGGCCTCCGGCGTGCGCCTCGTCTTCGACTAGGAAATGTTGCTGGTTGATATTGGCCCTAAACGCAATGCTTTGTATATCGTGCCCGCTTCCAAACGCCAGGTTATGCTGTCTGTACCTCTCGGTAGATCAAAAGAAGAAGAGTGAGAGGCCAAAAAAAAAAAAGGAGACAAGAATTGCGAATAACCACTAATGGCAAGACGATTCTCAACCACCCGCGGTCCCCTCCCGCGCATGCCTCTCCTTCAACCTCTTCTCCTGCTTCATAAACTCCCGTATACCCACCGGCACCCCCCTATACAGCTCATCATCCCACGCATCTCCCGCAATCGTCTCGTCCTTGCCCATTACAGGTCCGCTCGTCACAAAAGTCGTATCAGTGCCGCTGTCGCCATCCGCGGCCGCTTGCGCCTCGTGTTTCTTCGCCGTCCACTCCTCCATATCCTCCCTGAATCGGTCCCATACGCAGTTGACGCACCCGCTCATGCAGCAGTTATCCGGCTCCTCTGGCTTCGGCGGCACCAGAACCCCCGCCACGTACGTAGATTGAGCCTCCTTCTGGGCCAATTTGTCGGCTTGATCCGCTGGACCGAGGAATCGTGGTTGTGATCCAAAAATGATGCGCGTCTTTTCCTGGGGTGTGAGTTCTCGGGCGGACGGGGACGAAGAGGTAGCGGTGAGTGTCGCGGTTATGTTTTCGCGCGCCAAACTCGATGCGTTGGGGGTTTTCGTTACGGTATCACCGGCCTTGGATGGCGCATCAGACGGCGCGCTTGGGTCGCTGGTGGGGGGTAGCTTCTCGGGTTTGCGAGCATGGCCGTTGAGGAGGATTGGATTGCGCAGGATGATGGTGTAGTATTCTCCTAGGGGGGTTCGCTGCGGCCATTGCAGGTCCTGGGAAGGAGAGCGTGAGGCTGTGAAGTAGCGGCCTGTTGTGGCGAGACGGGATGGACGAAGACGTGAGGTGGCTATTCTTGTAGGCGCGGACATGAGCGCGGATATGGCGGGGAGGAGTACGAATTCGGTTCTATCATCTATGGATCCTTCATGTCTCGGAGTTCGAGGAGGTGATAGGTACGCGAGCGCAAGGAGGGTCGAGGACTCGAGATGTTAATTACAGCCTTACAGGACAGACTACGGAGTATGGAGGGGGAGGTACACGATTGAAGACGTCACCCGCCACCATGATTCGCCCGACCAGACGGTGATGGTCATGGAGCCGGCGGCCATGTATAATGTAGCTCCAGGATATAAAGCAACTATCAAACTGAATAGCACAGAAACGAGAACACCACATCGAGTTTCTGTAAAGTTTATCGGCTTCTCAAGTTGGCATCTTGGCGCACGTTTTGCTGCGTTTTGCTGCGTTATGACGGTATGAGCCGCCCAAAGGCCAAAGAAGCTTATTCGTTCCTTCTTCCGCGCCGATCCAAAATGCAACCCCACTTCTTGATTGAGTCGGAGGCTCGGAGCGGCTTTCCTTGGAAAGAAAACGCGTCGAGGCGATCGATGTTCCAGTCGCATTCCCCAGTGCTGGGCCTGTAGCAACGTGAAATACGTATTCGTATGCTCGTGGAGTTGTGGGCATGAAGCTGTCCTAATCTTGATCTCGCGCACGTGTCCTTTGATGCCTCTTCGGCCGTGATGCTGTTATGTCGTCGATGATTTTCTGGGCATCCTCCTGACAGCAGCATGGAAGAGTCAGCGCCGAAGCGGCGACGCGTTTCTCGTGACACCGACACGCCAGCGCCAGATGCTAATTCAAATCCAAATCCAAATGCAAACCCAGATCCAGATGCAGATCCAGCTCCAAACCCACCATCCTTGCAGCCACAGTCACAGTCGATTGTCCGCCGCAATCAAGATTTGCCTGCATTGCCATCCAACCCGCAGACCGACCCGCAGAATCTCGAACAACAACGCGCAGCATCGCCATCGCCATCGCCATCCCCCTCTCAACCCACCGGTACCGCGTCGAGGCCTGCACGAGGCCCTGATCGCACCGCGCGACAGCTATTTGCTCCTCGAGCCGTCCCGGCACCAGATCCCGACAACTCTCGCACCACGTCGTTTCGACCCATCAACACGGCAAGGCCAGCTTCGTCTGGTTCTTCGGCGAGTGTTCAGTCCGGCCTGGGCAGTCCACCACGAAGAACTCCCGTGAAACCGAGCTCGCGACCTCTTCCACCACCTGCTCCCGAAGGCGATGACGAACTAAGCACGTATCTGTCGCGGACGCAAAGGATTACACGCAATACAGGGGTCCTCATACCCCCTCCTCCCGAACCCGAGCTCCCCCCCGCCGTCTCTGATCCCATTTCTTCCACCCCACCGCGAGGCATTCATAGCAGTCCTAGATGGAGAGACGGATACAGGCAGAAGCAGAAGCAGCAGAAGAAGAAGAAGAAGACGAAGCACTCACCGATGAAGAGCTCGCCGTTAAAACCACGCAATGACAGTCCATCAGGGACTCCGAGGGCACGTGGTCTCTCACAAAGCCAGAGTCCCCATTCTCGTGCGCGAACCATTGCCCGTCCGCTGCGAGACTTGGGGCTGAACGCGAACACGAGCGCTGCCCGACAGGTGCCAGCGCCGAGCAAGAATGCCGCCAGATTCAAAGAGAGGGACCGGCTGCGGAAAGAGATTGCGCTTCTTCGCAAAGAAATGGACATTGCCGCCCGCGAAAATGAGCGCATTCGCGCGATGCAACGAGCTGGTCGGATCGTGACACCCGCGAATGAGGAGGACGTGTTGAGTCTCGTGCAAAAGACTCTCGTTGCCACAGGCACCGCTCCCAGTCCAGGGCTGGCTCATCAAATGGCACAAGCGGCGCTGAAGCCCATGGGCATTCTGCCGTTTGGGCCCTCGAAACTGATACCTCAGCAGCAGCAAGGAGATGTGGAGAGGGGCAACGACGAAGAAGCAGAAATCAAGTCTCACCATCCGGTACAAATGTCCGCCGAGGACGAACTACCCTT